AATTTTAGATTATCTTTCAAATTAAAAAAAAACTGAAATTACATACGTGTCTGGTATATTTTCAATGGGCATTACCCTTATAGTAAGCAGGAAAAAATAAACTTTTTTAAAAATGAAAAGATAAACCCAATTTTAAGTACAGTGACTGATGTAAATCTAATCACCTCCTAGATGACCAGTTTCTTTAAGACAAATTAAAGGACTTCAGGGAATCACATTAAGATGTTTACTATCTGAGGTCATCAGAAGTTTATTGTAGAAAGCTGAGGCTAGAGAAAAGACAACATAACTCAGGGCTTTGATGAGTCCACAGTGCAGTAATTACAGCATCAAAATGTGGGTCCTATGTCCTACCTCTTGGTTATATTCATCATGTACATGAATGCAAAGATAATCTATTCATAGTAAGCAGACTCTCCTAAAGATAAATACCTAGAAAAAAAATCTCAAAACAAGAGTAGCAATTTCCCTTATCTATGCCCAGGAACAGGCCCAACATACTGTTACATATAGCACATTAACCTTCTGATCTAGAAAATAAATTCTGCAAGAAGTGAGTCAATACACAATTTCTTCACAAGTTTCCTATGAAGTAACATCCCACAAATTGGGAAACAAAATCAACTACTGTCATATTTGAAGATAAAAGCATCACTTTTTTTTTCAATCTAAAAGAAGACAAACCTTTGATAAAAAGTTTGGGGGAAAAAAGTGAATAAACAATATGAATTCAAAACACTGGGGGGAAATTAAGAGAGCTGTTAGCACAGAAATATTACTTTCACTGAGTATTCTCATTCTGAAAAAAATTCCAACTTTCCAAGATTGCTGTATCTTAATTTTGGGAAAGCCTGAAAAAGCCAACAAATATATGAGCTTGGCTGGGCTCCATATGACCTCATTTGGGCACAAGCCCCTGGTGGCCCCCTTTTCCCTTTTACGGGTAAATAAATAAGTAAAACTACTGGGTTTTGGCTCTTCGTTTTCTATTCTCAAGTTTTAAAAAAATGCTTCTCTTAAAAAATACATACCCATCATATACCTGTATTTTTTGTTTACTTTAAACATACTTTTCATAAAAGGATAATTTGCTCTAATTAATTTTTTTATGACTGTCCTCTACTTTTTGGGAAAAAAGCTAGAAAACAAATAAAGGGATTTTATATTTTTATTGTTTTCTAGTTTTTAAAGTATAAAATAGATATACATCCACTGCTACTACAAGCTTCTAAAAGCCTTTTTTACTTGAATGTCCTCTATGTTAACCTAACTTGAAATTAATCTCAATGGTAGCTGCGGTAACAGACAGGACTGACTTCCCCAGAAGGAGGCGTCTAGGCTCTACACTATTTCCTAAAGACCAATGCCTACACAGGCAATGTATCTCTCAGGAGGTCTGGGATTTCATATTCAATGTATGCTCACTGTTCATGAAATCAACTTGAAGTAACATTTTAAAATATTAAACATATTTGGAACATTAAAAACTACATTCATTTCCTACTGTTAAGTTAGACTGATAATCTTCCTTACACTTTAGAAACGCAATTAAAACAAATCAAAACCAGAATTAAAAGCCCAACCGTAAAAGAACACTGCAGTTCCGGGAGCTTTAGTGCACTAAAGTACAAAATCACATTCAGGAGAGGGGCCAGGTTCCTTCAACCTAGAAAAAAGCCAAAGAGCGTTACCAAAAAAACAAATGAAGATCCTGTTTGACTTTTTTCCATCAAACTTTTTCCAGGCAAAAATTTTTATCACAGTAAGTCATCACACTTCAAATGTATAACATGCTTTATGTAAATGTGACTTACACGGGACAATAATACTTTGCATGGGTAAATCCACCACTTACAAAGTGTTATTTTTAAATCCGATTTGATGTTCACAAATACCACATGAAATAAGGCAATTAGCTATTATTTACAATGTACAAATGGCAACAACAGAGTCATAGGTTAAAATTACTTGCTCAACATCACTAAACATCCTGATGCCCAATCCAATGCTCTTTTTATATCTCATCATGTTAGCAATATGAACAAGTAGCAAGGTTTTAGGGTAGTGATTTACAGACAAATACTAAGAAAAATTAGATTTCTGACTTCCTGTAATAACAGACAAAAATCTTTAACTCACCTTACTAATTTCTAACACTTTCTTCAGAAAAACCTACTAACCCTGAAACAGGCTTCCACACATAAATGCCCTTTAAAAAAAGAAAATCCCTAATTATCAGTTAGCTGCGATCCCTTCCATATCACAGGGCTAAATTTGATCTTAGGACTCAATTTTTTTTTTTCGAGTTTATCTGGTGCAACACATTTATTGTGACTTTTGAAAGAACTCATATTTTAACTGTTTTAATCTAGTCAAAACTGCAGAACTGCCAGGAAGAAAACTCTTGAAAATGTAAGCTATCACTTACAATACAACAACTTCCTCACCTTAATGACACACAAACACCAAAACAATTCAGCCTCTACTAGTTCTGCATTGTTAGATGAGTCTGCATTTTCTGTTTTAAAATACCAGGAGCTTAATAGGCCTTGCCACTGTGTCCATATTCTTCACATTTCAAAAACTACTTCTACGATCTTAGCAAGGTTCATACTCACCTAATTTTTAAAATCTTTAAGAAAACAATTACACAACCTAGATAACAATACTGTGGGACCAGTTAGTAAATCAGACATGTTAATCAATTATGAATGTTTCTTATATTCTGTAAATGGACCCAAGTATCTAATAAGATATTGAGCCAATACAGTACTCAAACCCTACAAAATTAGAAGGTAGAAAATACTGAAAAGAGAAATTCGGGGAGGAAGCAAAGTTCCAAGGATAACGATCTATGATAATAAAATAAAAGTTCTACAGCTTGAAAAACAAAACATACCCATTTTATTAAGAGTTAATGGATACTTGGAGCTGAGGGTCCATTTTTTTCAAGACTGATAACTGCAAGAACACATAGAATATTCCCCTAATAGAAGAACAATGTGGCCTTTTCTTTATGACAGAAAACAAAATGTGAGCTAAAATATGTATTCACCTACACATATCCAACATTTATCTGTAACAGAAAATAAATATCATCCAAAACATCAGACATATGGCGCAAAGTGATTCCACAAGAATAAGCTTAAAATACCCTATTTCATAATAATTGCTTAACTTCTCTATTTCCATAGTAAATAAAAAATTCTGCTACATGCAATCTTTTCATATTAATATGCCCATTATTGCCACTTGATGGATTTACGGGAATAATCAAGATTGCACTGCCTTAACAAGAACAGTTAAGCACTTTGACTTTGTACAAAATGAAAACTGAACAAAGTGAGATGTACAGATGCTAAGAATTATCATCATACCTGTTTTTCCTTTCCTGTACAACCAATGCATTTTTTGTCCATTCTCGACAAATTATTTGTATTTAAAATTGTTATTCATATAGTCTGTGGATGCAGTAACAAGGACTCTGACAATGTTTTTTGTTGTTATTTACTTTTTAAAGTACTGTTTAGTCTATATAACGGAATTACTGCATCTGTATCCTTTTCTTAAATTAAGGCATTTTCTATAGAAAATTTGGAAAATACCATAAAGCATACAGAAAAAATTCTGTGTTTCAACATCTAATCATTTTTATAACTATGGCTATCCTTTGAGTCTTATTTCTAATACACACTTCCATAGTCTACAAAATTAGAATTACACTAATTTTTAATGTTTTCATTTAAAAATTAGTATTTCATACACCTTTATTATTTTAGAACGATTTTTAATAGTTTTATTAGAATCTCATCGTAAGAGTGAAGAGTTGAAAATTATGCATTAAAATAATTACCTAATTTTCTCCCCTCGCTTCCCCTATAAGATCAAAATTTAGGAAAAGAGTAAACCATTCACGCTTAACATCCCCCTGAGAAAAGTGGAGCGCAGTAAGATACAGAGCTTAAGCTACTAAGATAACGATACGCTAAAAGTCACACTTCAAGCACTATCCTGTGGATGTGACCTTATTGGAGACAAATTTAAAATTCTCAATACCAAAGTAGTTACCTATTCCACCTGTAAGAAAGCTCCATTTCGTTTTTTAATAAAGCTAGAGTGAAGCAGAGCGTATTTCACTCACTCAACAAAGTGTCTTCAGTGGCTGAGTTCGTTAAAATTGGCGCTCCCAATGGCAAAGACTTGGATTTATTAAACAGATAAATATGTAGGGAGTACAATGCACTGTGTGGACAGCTACTACTGACGAGTTATCGATTAGGAAGTCCACGCTAGAAGGAACGGTCGTGGGGGAAAAGGATAGGGAAGGGGATTCGATCATTATCGTTCTGGAGTCCGGGCAGAAATTTGAGCTGCATCATTTAAAGTTCAGTATTTCTACTCCTAACATTACGGGGTTCAAACGTCACCAAAAATGATGCGCTGGCTGATACCCAGAGTGACGCACGTAACACCTTACCATATGGATTCCCAACAACCAAGACCCCGAAGCCAGCCTGGGGAAGGAAGGAGGGTTCCCGGGCTGTCGGCTTCCCCCCGCCCCGGCCCGCTGCTCGGCTCTGGACGTGCGAGAGGTTCAGGACCCGAGACCCGACGCCTCAGAGTCCGGCTCAGGCCGCGGGGGCTACGGACTCGCGTTCAGGGCTACCCCTGCGTCCGCACAAGCCCCGCGTCAGGAGTCAGGCTCCCTGCCTCCGGGGAGACCCCGCGACTGCCCGCGCCAGGTGCCGGCCAGGGCCCACACTGGAGGCCGCGACTCCTCCGCCGGAGTCCACCCGCCCAGGGCTGTACCTGAAGAGGCAGCGCCACCTCCGCCCGACTGCGCGGCTGCCCGTCGCGGCTGCGGCGGTCACAGCTCCGAGCGTAGTGACGCCTCTCATAAAAACAACCTGCTTGCAGGCGTCCGCAGCCGGGAGGCGGTGGCCGGCGGCGCGGCGCAGCGCACGCCGGGACTCGTAGTCTCGCCCGCGCCTCCCGTCGGGTGGCAGCGGAGGGAAGAACTACGACTCCCGAGGAGGAGCGCAGCCCGCCGATGGGAGGCCGCAGGAAGCTGTACCCGGCGGCCGCGATCCTCACAACATCCGGGCCTCAGCGCTTCAAAAGCACCACGGTGGGTTGCTATGGAGACGAGCTGTTGCAACCACTAGAAAGGATTCGCGGGATTAGGCAGATTCATTTATACACATTGATCCGGCCGACGTTCCCGTTATCTTCGCAGGTTCAGTAAACAGGCCGCGTTTCCTGAGGGTTCGCTGATGTCGACATCGCTGCAGGAAAAAATCGCGTTTGCTGAAAAATTAACGAAGACATCGAGAATGACCGAGTATGACATGGTGGGTTTGGGCAGCGATTTCGATGTTTTTGACTTGGTACTCTACTATCGATTTGGGGCACTCGCACATCCACTTAACCGACCCCTAAAAAAACATACCTTTTTAGGCAACCATTGGGCTGCACAGATGTAAATGTGCATTGCGTAAGCCAGAATTGCTCTGAAGGTATAAAGATGATTGGGGATGGTATGCAATTCGTACCCCACTGCAAACAATGTACTGATGGCTTTGAACAAAATCGTACCTTAATTTTACATTTACTTAACTCCTTTGTTCAAAAAAGGGTATGAGAACCCAGAAAAGGAAGTGGTGCACTTACATTCACTGTTGATGGAAACAGTAGAAAATTAAGGTTTAATTCTGTCCCCCCCCCAAAAAAAGATAAAAACATTAACAAGGAGGATGGTGGGTCTGAGTAGAAAAAAAGGGTGCCTCAAAATCGGACTTTTGTTTGCTTTTGGTGTTATTATAATTAATATGAACTATGACACACCACTAAAAAAGAGAAGACCTTAACTTTATAATTACACTTTACATAATGGGTATTTTTATTATTTCAATGGCTTTGTTACTTAACTTTTAAAAAACGTGTATGTGTTTATAATTAAGGCCTTTGCAAAGTCAAGATGGCCTGACTTTGGCTAATTCTAGGAAAGCCTGAAATTAAATTACTATCCTTTGTTCAAAAAAGGGTATGAGAACCCAGAAAAGGAAGTGGTGCACTTACATTCACTGTTGATGGAAACAGTAGAAAATTAAGGTTTAATTCTGTCCCCCCCCAAAAAAAGATAAAAACATTAACAAGGAGGATGGTGGGTCTGAGTAGAAAAAAAGGGTGCCTCAAAATCGGACTTTTGTTTGCTTTTGGTGTTATTATAATTAATATGAACTATGACACACCACTAAAAAAGAGAAGACCTTAACTTTATAATTACACTTTACATAATGGGTATTTTTATTATTTCAATGGCTTTGTTACTTAACTTTTAAAAAACGTGTATGTGTTTATAATTAAGGCCTTTGCAAAGTCAAGATGGCCTGACTTTGGCTAATTCTAGGAAAGCCTGAAATTAAATTACTCTAATAACGGGAAGGGGAAATACCGGGGCGAAATACCTTTGAAACTGAAGTCAGCAGAGGGAAAAATAAAGTTTAAAACCCGTTTATTGCTTACAAGCAGTCGTCCCGCGCGTCTCTCTCATGCTGCCGCAGAAGCAAGCGAATACTCCCCCCCAGCCTCTCCGGTCCAGACAAGCCCTCCTTTGCCCCTGTAATTACCCATTGAAACGGAGATGAGCTACTCTCCATCCCTAGGAAACACCTGTTGATATGGAGATGAACTAAAGTCAGGTGAGAGATTCTGATTATATTGCAATTTTACCCACATTTACTAAGGAAACTAATATCATCTATTTGTAGATTTTTATTCAAGACTTTCCGAGACTAATTTTAAGACTTAATTTTAAAAGAATCATTTAGAATTTTAATTACCTTAACCTTAGGTAAATAATAGTTGCTGACCTAATGCGTAACCTAGCAGAGGATTTAAAACAATCCTTTTATTATTTTTTGTATTAGGCTGTTATGTTTTGTTTCTAATTGTATCTAGTTTGAACTCCACATTTTAAGAAAATCAGATTTGAAGAGGGTGAAACCGATGTAAGAAAACTGCAGTGAGACCCTATGACATAAAAGTAAAAGCAATTGCTGTTTTCTTAATTTATAAACATTTGTAAGTTAACCTGGAGGTCTAAAAGATTTAGGTGGACACTGACTTTTCCAGATGGTGTGGTATTATAGTATACCAACAAAGTTTATCAGCAGCTTATTTGTCTTCTGACTATACTTGGTTTTCTGTTTTACATTTTGAGCCAAATCTGATCAGAATTTGAGACCGAGTAGTAGAGGGTCATTTGATGAGAGGCCTCTGTGACTGAGATTGCCCTGGGCGACCTGAGGGTGTCCATAAAGTAAATTAGGGTTGGTCACAGGGCAGCCACCTTCCACTTAAGCCTTCCCTCTGCTGAGAAAACCTTGACACTTTGACAAACGCTGACCTGTTGAGATGCCATAGCATTATGGTGATTATTCAGTGTCTCTTGATATTCAAAGCAAATTAATAGGCAGTTTCACAAAGAATAGCAACATATGATGAGTACTACTTCCAGCTTTGCCAGCTTTCTGCAAGATTATGAGTATTACATGAGTATTAGCAAACTGTAGTATATTAATGTAAAGTGTTATTAACCTGTAAATTTCAGAACTGAATTCTGCAAGATCCTATATATGCAATGATGTAAACCTGCAAAAAAAAAAAAACAGTTAAAAGTGATCCCATTTATGTAGCAATTTATCATTTTCATCCAGTTTTCTTTCATTTATGTTCACAACCACAGGAATTATGGCAGTTTTTTGGTTTGTTTGTTACCAATTTTATAGATGATACACTATGAATGTGAAATGATAAGGACTGGAACCTAGGTCACAGTTCCTGCCTTCTGCTGCTCCTCCAATTCTCTGTTGATAATTATTCAAATCTGAACAAAGATAAGAAAATGGACTAAATACATAACATTTACAGATCTGATTTAAGCTTTCGAAACAAATAGGGTCCTGACCTTGGAAAACAACTTTAATGAGATACTAAGTAGACTAACCAGGAATTCAAGATGAGCTGGATTATGTAAACAAGGAGCCTAACTAATTTAACCCAAATCTGAAACTCACAAAGACTTTATCTTCACTTAAACTTGACACAGCAGCTCTGTTACTTGGAGAAACTGAGATGATATGTTTACTAATCTTAAAGATTTAGAATTCTTAAAGGGTCTCAGCTTCATGAATCACAAGAATCTAGAGAATTCAAGGAGAAAGAACTGTAGTGCATATAAGCAATCTTCTATTTAACTCAACGTTAAAAAGATCTACAGTACCCTGATAACACCTATGAAGTTATTTAGATATAATTTCTGATCTAGAAGGACTTAGATTTTTAAGTATTCCAGAAATTGCCAAATTTTTTGTTTTAA